TATATATATATATATATATATATGTATATATATATATATATATATATATATATATATATATATATATATATATATATATATATATATATATATAGTGATGGCTAGTGTATCTAAAAAGTATGAAAATTATGAAAGAGACTATGACGAAATATTGTAACACACACACAAGTGTTATATTGTGCGTTTTAGATGCCATATATTCTCATTTTAATTGTATTTTAAATAATGTATTAGATGTTGAGGTTAATCTGTGTTATTTTCCCTTTTGTTCTTTCTCGTAGGCACACTGGGAAGGTTCTGAAGGATGTTATCAATATGGGCTCTTATAACTACCTCGGTTTTGCTGAGAATTCTGGCACATGTGCTGATGCTGCCGCTTACAGCACTGTAAAATATGGTGTCGGGGTAAGCAGCACCAGACAGGAGATAGGTAATAAATACTCACTCTTTCAGTCTTTACTGCCATTGCATCTCTAGTGTAATAAGGGCCAAACAATTTTGTGACACTTGTTGGGTAATGTGGGATCATTTTTAAAGGATTATATTCAAGTCCTCTCATGATATTAACTTTGACCTTAAATTTGCTTTGTGGTGGGAATTTTTCCACCCTCACACTGCTTTTGTTTATACATTAAACTTCAGTTTGTGTTTTTGCAAATGTGTGACGCTGGATACACCTGTAAATGGATTATAAGAGCTTCAATCTTAACTGTTTTCCACCATGTAGAGAAGGAGTCAAAACCCATTATATATATTATACTCCCAAATAAACACAAAAAGAAATCAATTCTAATTTTAAATGCTTAAAACTTTATAGAGACCCATTACCAAAATGACAAACTAAACATTCTAGAAAACAAAAAAAGCAATATAACTAACCCATACTTAGAGAAAAAACAAAACAAAAAGACTTACTTATTTCCAAACATACAACAGAGAGAACAAATTCAGCAAAAGAAAAGCCTGGGGTCTCGCCACTTTCTTCACAAAAGTTGTGATTTATAAAAAGCAAACTAATGAGAGAACATATGCAGCTGTAAGTAAGCATATTTAACCCTTTCACGTGTATGATCAAGCTGATCTGATCAGCCTTGGCTGGTGCATGAAGCATACGATCACACCAGTGTGATTAGATTGTTTAAAGTGCACTTCATCAACTGCTAAAAATCCAATATGAAGGTATAGACAGAGTAAAATATCACGATTTATCCATGCTTTCAAACAAATAACATTTATTTTAGGTTTCAGACATTCAAATACACAACTATAAGCAAAACATACCATTTAAGGTTTGCAAAATGCACGCGGATGTCTATGAAGATGGCAATAATAATTATTTTTCACCATGTGGTCACATAGGATACTCACTGTGTATGTTACTAGAATATTTTCTCTATTCCTCAGATAAACAATTGCTTACCTTTATGTATTTCGGCAGAAAATTAATAAATAAATTAATAAACGTGACGTAAATCCAGCAGCTTGTATCTCTCCTGCGGTTGTTGCTAGAAGGGATACAGTTACAATCAACGAGAGTATTTACTCAATAAATTACACAATCTACAAGCAGCCATTGCAAGCAGCTTCAAAAATCGATAACATAAACTTTACTTTATAAAGCACAATATAACAACAGTTGTTGACCATTGTGATAGTTGGCTTCTTTATAATGTGCTTTTTACAATGTAGATCATGCCAAAACAGTTTAAGATGGAAGAAGAATAGAGAATAAAAATATTTTCAGCACAATATTTGAGTATGTCTGGATATGTCTTTATAATTAAATAATATAATTGATATAATTTAATCCTCTCTCACAGGAAATCTTGACAAACACGAGGAGTTGGAGAAGCTGGTGGCCAGGTTTCTTGGAGTGGAGTCATCCATGGTGTTTGGAATGGGCTTTGCTACAAACTCCATGAATATCCCTGCGCTCACAGGAAAAGTGAGTGTTTAATTGTATCAAACATTAAGTCAAATGGAATGCTAAGAATGTCCTGTTCACGTCAAAACAACGTGGAGTGTAAGGTACATTGAGGCACGGGAGTTCTGTTTTTGTACTTTCATTGAAATACTTCTAGTGCTCATTCGTTTTATGTGTTTTTGTCATGAAGGAAATGAGTCATAGCGGAGTTGTGTAATATCCTTCATGCTTTTAGGAATGGTACACACATTCCTGGTTTCATTAACAATAGATTTGATCATTTTGAAAAACATTCCTACTTGTTCACCTGGCAAAAAACAAATTGAATAATTGAACAACAACCTGTAATTCCTGATCAGTCAGGGAAAAATGTACCGTTCTGGGCTTCAGAAGTCCACACTGATTTAAAATCTGAGTTTTAAAATGTTATATAAACCTGAAAAAAGTGTACAGTTTTGAAAAAATGTAAAAGTATCAAAACAAGATATATTTACTTTACTGTTATATATATTTTTTGTTTTTTTTCCTTGTGATTCTTGATGTTTACAGGTTGATAAAGCTATTCCAGTGATGCTATGTATTTTTAAATTGTTTGATTTGATGTTTTATTTTCCTTGAAATAATATAATATTAATATTATAGGTGGGCATAGATTTCCTTTTTAAATCTAGATTAATCTCACTGTAATCTCGGAATTAATCTAGATTAAATTGGCTCACTTGAATTCTGCCTAAGACATTCAGAATATGTGTGCTACCCAAGTCTCAAAAACGGGTTTCTTAAGCCAAGAGAAGCGGTGTCCAAAAGGCTTCACAAACTGCTTGAGAAATAATTGGTGATGAAAATAAATGATGTTCAAAAAGATGTACTTGTGTTTACTAACTGTTTATTCAGTTAAACATGAATTTTGAACTATAGGCCTACATAAGCTCGAAACAGCTAATTTTTTTATTTTATTTTTTTTGATTACATTAATCCATCTAAAGTCATAACTGAATTAAACAGAAATGGAATTAAGACATGGAGTATGCAGATATTAGTGTTGAAGTAAACACCGCAATCAAACTATTACCGTCATGTAGGACTTTTCGCCATATTTTCCACACATGCGGCTCTCAGTAAAGGACTACACACACAGCCACACACACGCACTAATGATATTAGTGGGGGCTAATAATATTGACCTAAATTGGTTAAAGAAAACAGCTTTTACTCCAGACAAAATAAAACAAATTAGACTTTCTCTTGAAAAAAAAATATATAATAGGAAATACTGTGAAAAGCCCTTGCTCTCTTAAACATAATCAGGGAAATAATTAAAAAAGGAAGAAAAAAAAAATCACAGGAGGGCGAATAATTGTGACTTCAACTGTATATATTTATTAAAATGTGTATTTTTTCAGTTCAATACTCTGGACTTTTGCTTACAAATTGAATGCATGCGCATTCTTGCTTTTTTAAGTTGTGTTTCAATTTTTGTGTCTCTTAGGGTTGTCTGATCTTAAGTGATGAGCTCAATCATGCATCTCTGGTTCTGGGTGCCCGTCTCTCTGGCTCTACCATTCGTGTATTCAAACACAACAGTAAGTTCATTCTTATTTTGTTGCCCACGCTGAAACTCAAAATCAACAAAACAAAACAAGCAGATAATATTAGATATTTAATATACAGGACTGTTGCTCATTGTGAGTTTACAGTGGTAATCACTACCTAGAGTGGCTGTTTAAACAGAAACTCCCTCATTAGTAAATACTATTGTTTGCTTAATAAATTAACCTTAGAAATTATTCATGTACCTGAATAGGCAATTTGCTATTAAAATAAATCTTGATCTTAACCTAGGAGGGGAAAATGCAGTCTTCTCCTTTACAGCAACTATAGTAATGAGTTGTATGCATACTAGCATACAGTTGAAGTCAGATTTATTAGCCCCCCCTTTGAAATTTTTGTTCTTTTTTAAATATTTTCAAAAATAAAGTTTAACAGAGCAAGGAACTTTTCACAGTATGTCTGATAATATTTTTTTCTTCTGTAGAAAGTCTTGTTTGTTTTATTTTGGCTAGAATTAAAGCAGTTTTAAATTTTTTAAAACTCATTTTATGGACAAAATTATTAGCACCTTTAAGCTATATTTTAGTTGATAGTCTACAGAACAAACCATCATTATACAATGACTTGCCCAATTACCCTAACCTGCCTAGTTAACCTAATTAACCTAGTTAAGCCTTTAAATGTCACTTTAAGCTGTATAGAAGTGTCTTGAAAAATATCTAGTCAAATATTATTTACTGTCATCATGGCAAAGATAATATAAATCAGTTATTAGAAATGATTTATTTAAACTATTATGTTTAGAAATGTGTTGAAAAAATCTTCTCTCCTGTAAACAGAAATTGGGGGAAAAAATAAACAAGCGGGCTAATAATTCAGGGGGCTAATAATTCTGACTTCAACTGAATATTGGTTTCTAACCTTTACTCTTAGATATGCAGAGTCTGGAGAAGATGCTTCGGGATGCCATTGTACACGGACAACCTAGAACCCACCGACCCTGGAAGAAGATCCTAATTGTTGTTGAAGGCATTTACAGGTAAAGCAGAAAGCTTTTTTTCCACCAAGTGACTGTATATTTAGACTTGAACTGCAGTGGTGTAAAGTATTTAATGACAAATTCTCAAATTATAATTATAATGTAGTGTCTCTCAAGAATTGAACTTTACAAAATAGTTTTAAAAATGTTTATTTTGACTACATTTTATTCAGTATTTTCCCTCAACTTCAGGAACAAATGTCAGATTCCTCCGTCAGAGAATAAACCTTTTATCAACGCTTACATTTTAAACAAGTGGCAAAAGGAATGGGATGCATTAGAAAATAAGAAATTACATGAAATCCAACCTGAAATCTCACACAGAATTTTAAGACATTTTAAGAATCGATTTGATCAAGTAGTTTTTACCAGATGTCGTATTGGGCATACGAGAATAACACACGTTTTTTTGCTCCAAGGTGAAAACCCTACTCAGTGTTTGTGCTGCAAAACTCCTCTTACTATAAAACACATTTTACTGGACTGTCCTGCTTTTACTGATTCCAGAAGACTTTTTTGTGAAATGAACTCTTTTAATGACATTTATAACAAAGTGAAACCAAAAAAAGATTTTAGAATTTTTATCATGTATTAACAGAAAAAATCTTATTTAATTTTGTTTAATTTTGTTTGTTGATTTTTAAATTGTATGTTTAATGTTGATAGATTCGCTGCCACAAACCAGGAGAAAACGTTTTTAAAGTAAATGGCAGTTCCCAACCTAGAGCTTCAATTTATCCAAAAATAATATAGAATAGTTTTAATAAGTAAAAACAAAGCACACAGGCTCAGATGAAGAACAGAAGTTAGAAAAGAAATAAAGACTTGTCAGCTAGCGGAATCGGTCAATCACACCACACTAGTTCCACAAATAATCTGGGGCATGAGATTGGAGATACTCAGAACAACGCCAGCAGCGGATTCTCCAAAATTGCTTGTCAAGCTTATAGCTAAATTTCCAATTACCAATACAATTAAACAACAACACTGTCTTTAGTTTAATTTCTAAACGTTGGAATCAAACAAAATCTGCAGAAACTCCTGTGTATCAAAGAGCATAGAATCACCAAGAGGCGACACTAGTGTGATTTGGGAGACAGCCACTAGATGGCGCGGTGTCCATTTTGGAATGAAAACTCCAATAGAACAGCATATTATAAGTCTGTAAAATAAACTATTAAAAGTGCTAATGATTATGATAGTAAGTGTTGTTTTGTCATCTTTCAGGTTGTATCTCAGCTTTAATGCGCTTTTTAAATAAATAAATAAAAAACAAAGCAGCTGCACGTCATCGCGACAGCAATAAGATCAAACGGACAGCCGGTCGCTTTCACCCAAAAATGGCGGAATACAGGGCTGTTGCTGGACGCTGCTGTTGCAATATAACGTGCCATTGAGTGTCGCCTCTTGGTCATTCTAAGCTCTTCATGTGTATTCTAGAGTCTGTGCTACAGAACATTACATTTTCAAATAATGCACAAATTGCATGTGTTTTAGTAGTGCTGCAGGAGCTTTGTTTGCTGCGCTATACTTGTTAATCAGGGATCAAAATGCGTACCTTAAGCATTAACAGCTACATTTTTGCCCCTTTGATTACAGATTTCACTTACATTTACATTTACATTTAGTCATTTAGCAGACGCTTTTATCCAAAGCGACTTACAAATGAGGACAAGGAAGCAATTTACACAACTAAGAGCAACAATGAATAAGTACTAAAGGCAAGTTTCAGGTCTGTAAAGTCTAAGAAGGGAAGTATTAGTAGTATTATTTATTTATTTTATTTATTTTTTTTTTTTTTTGTACAGTTAGTGTGATATTCAAAGAGGCAATTGCAGATTAGGAAGTGAAGTGGAGACTAAATAGTTGAGTTTTTAGTCGTTTCTTGAAAGTAGTGAGTGACTCTGCTGTTCTGATGCAGTTAGGGAGTTCATTCCACCAACTGGGCAGATTGAGCGTGAGCGAAAGTGATTTCTTCCCTCTTTGGGATGGAACCACGAGGCGACGTTCATTCACAGAACGCAAGTTTCTGGAGGGCACATACATCTGCAGAAGTGAGAGCAGATAAGAAGGAGCAAGGCCAGTAGTCACTTTGTAGGCAAACATCAGAGCTTTGAATTTGATGCGAGCAGCAACTGGCAGCCAGTGCAAACGGACTAGCAGCGGAGTGACATGTGCTCGTTTAGGTTCATTGAAGACAACTCGTGCTGCTGCACTCTGGAGCAGTTGAAGAGGCTTGATAGAGTTAGCTGGAAGCCCAGCTAGTAGAGAGTTGCAGTAATCCAGTTTGGAGAGAACAAGAGCTTGAACAAGGAGTTGAGCTGCATGTTCAGATAAGAAGGGTCGGATCTTTCTGATGTTATTCACCTTATTCTCAGCTGACGAGTGGGCGCTGACATTTGAATCTTTTTGTCTCGCGACTTCCGGTCACATTCACTTCCATTCATTTTTTGACGTTAACAACTGCTCGTTACGCTGCTTGATATTGCAATTTAATATTTTCTTATTATATTATGCTACTTGGTCTGTGTAGTCATGCAAACATTTGTTTGTTGAGCAAGTAGTTTGGCCATTTTCTGCCGTTTATTATTCCTAGTAATTTCTCCCATAGGCGACTGAATCGGAAGTTCTAAGACAATCGCGAAAACAGGCGCACTTCCGCATTTTAGAATAAGGTCAATAGAGTGCGAATCTGCACGATCGAGCAGTTCTAGAAATGTGGTCAGAGAAGTTTAGTTGGTCATCAATCGTTACTCCAAGGCTTTTCACCATTTTGGATGCAGTAATGGTTGCCCCATTCATCTGGATTGAAAAGTTATGGTGTAGAGTCGAGTTGGCAGAAACTACAAGCATTTCCATTTTTGCGAGGTTCAGCTGAAGATGATGATCTTCGCATGTAACACATCAGCCTGCTGTCTGTCAGCTTATTATGAGTTCATATATTAATGCATAGTGTTCTTATATTAAACTAATCTCACATTTAAAATGTGTAGTCCTTCACTCAAAAAAATACTTTTGCTGCTTCTTCAAACTACGCATTTAAAATAAGTCGAAAAAACACAATTCTTAAGTTTGTTTGGGACAACTTGATTGTTTTATGTCAATCTACTTAACTTTGTGAGAACGATTAAGTTAACTTTGCTTTTTAACGATTAGGTCAATTTCTGTTGGGACAGCATGAGGGAATTGTATGGAAGCCAGTATTTTTTACAGTGTTGAATTTGCAAACACTCTAACTAAATCTTTTAACTATTACTTTGAGAAGTATTTAGAACACATATTTTTACTCACACTAAATGTTTTTTGCTAGTAATAGTACTTTTACTCAAGTATGATTTTTTCAGTACTCTTCACCACTGTTGAGCAGGAACCTGATGTGGTTTGTGCAAAGCATATTCAAAGGGAGTTTAGTTTGCATACTTTGTTTGTGTGACTTTTGTTTGTAATAAAACCTGGTGCGGATTTGACAATTTAAGAACAATAGAATGATGAAGAAGACCTTTTCAAGAGGCTATCGAGAAGTTTAACACTCTTAGAATATACTGCTCTTGACTGATGACTTTCACTTTGTTCAGATAAGTGCCATTTCAGGCTGACAAGGCTTTAAAAGGCATGCAGATGATAACCTTTAATGATGATTTAGGAATGTAATGTGACATGAGGGTGATGGGCACGATACAACTGAGCCAGACATGAACTGCATGCCTTTTAGATGCCTTCATTTGGAAAGGAGCAGAAGCAGCAGTTCATTTGCATAAACAAAACTCACATGCATCAGCCTGTTTTTGCTTCAACTCAAAAATAAATCATCTGTGGGCTAATATCAGCTGGGGCACAATAAGCCCGCTTTTAGTATGGCATCAACACAAAATTAAGATTAAAATTTCTCAATTTATCAAACTGAATGCTAAATAATTTATTGATTAACAGATTAAGCTTTTATAAGGGTATACGGTCTTATAATGATATTGACCTAAACATGTATGGTAACAAATAACACTTGTTTTTTTTTTTATTGTAACTGCATGTCCATAGTAAACAAATCTTTAGACTAAATTAAATTGCAAAAAGATTGTAATGTACAACAGATAACAATTTCCAATAAAGTCTAGTAAGTAAAAGTTAAAATGTTAAATGGATTAAAATCAGGAGCGAACACAGGGAGAACAGTAGGGCTGTGCGATTTGGAGAAAATATCAAGTTGCAATTTATTTTGACAGATATTGCAATTTTGAGTTTATTTGCGGTTCAATTTTGGTGTTGATTTAGCTCAGTAGTCTGTATCAGAGCTTCTTCCTGCTAAAATGCAGTGTGTTAGTTTTAAAAAAGAAACTAAAAGGATATTAACTTACTTCAACATTTATTCAATTTTGTTTTTAAAGATTCAGAAATTAAACTCATTTTTAATAGAGCACATTAAATGACCTTACCTTTCTGTGAACAAGTGCAACTCAAATTAAGGAGATCATTCAGCTTATTACACAAAGAAAAACTTGTCATTATTTATATTATAATTATTTTTATAATAATATATAAGACTGATAAGAGGCAGATTGAAAAGTTCTGATTGGGAAGAATAAAAGTGTGCTCACTTAGTTGGCTAGTAAGACTCACACAAAGACGGCAGTTATGCATTTGCTCTGGGCGGGGGACATTAAATAATACCGTTATATTCCATATCGATGCCTCTTGCGTCTGCATGGGTCTGATTTTTTTTGTAGCTGATTTTATTTCATCGCTGCTTATCATATTTATCACACTAACATTTATTTAAATAATATAGGATGATACAGCTGGGAAAATAAGTATTAAACATGTCACCATTTTTCTCAGAAAACATATTTCTAAAGGTGAAATTTTCCCAGGATGTTGATAACAACCACAGAAATACATATATGCTAAATCTAATTAGTTTACAAATTAAATTATGCGTAATGAAATGAAACGATGCAGGGAAAAAGTATTAAACACATGAAGACAGGGAGGTGTAGGAAGGCAGTGAAAGCCCAGACAGCAGCTAAAATCTTTCAGTATGTTTTTCAGCAACCCTCTGTTCTTCATTGTAAGCTAATATTTGCAGTTTCAGTCCAACAGCTACATTAGCAGCATAATGATGAAACCAGGGTGGACATTTCAGCAAGAAAATGATCCAAATCACAGCCAAGGAAACTCTCAAATGCTTTCAAAGAAAGAAAATCAAGATGTAGAATGGCCCAGCCAATCACCTGATGTAAATCCAATATAAAATACAAAATAAAGATCATATTTTATAGACGAGACCCGCAGAACCATGAAGATTTTTACACGCTGACTTCATTCTCCTTATGAGAGGTGTCTTTAAGCTGCCATCTCCAAAAAAAAAGTCTTATATAAAGTAATAAATGCATTTTAGTTGTTCAGCGCTTTCTTTTTGCATCATTTCATTGTTATTATACATAACTAGTTTTATCAGTTGTTGTTGTTGTTGTTGTTTTAAGTTTGTATTGTTTGGGTTTTGACCAAAATCTGGATCAAGTTCATGTCAACCGCTGCTTTAGAAATATTATTTCCATGAAAAAACATGACGTGTTCAATACTTATTTTCCCCGCTGTATAATGTTGACGTAGTTATAGTGTAACTATTCATTTAACTGCTGAGTATTATTAATTAATAATGCACTCACTATATGGTTAGGGTTAGAATGTGGTTTAGGGTCAGTTACATGTAATTATGCATAATTTATTGTAATTAGTATAGCGCACGGAACGCGTGTAGCTACGTCGCCTTAAATTGAAGCGTTACACTTTATTTGAAGGTGTCCTTGTTACACATTTTCCATGTAGTTACCATAATAGTTACTATTAATTATGCATATGTACGTATAACTTACCCTAAAGCAAACCCACATTCTAACACTACTCATAAGTGCATGTAACTAATTAATATTACTAGGTAATTAAATACTTAATTTAGTTAAACAAAGTAAACTAAAGTATAAGCTAAAGTAGACATGTCATTTTTAGATCTCTATGAGTTAATGCTACCCATGCTCTTCTTTCTAGCATGGAGGGCTCAATTGTCCGACTTCCTGAGATCATTGCGCTAAAGAAAAAATACAAAGCTTACCTGTACCTGGATGAGGCCCATAGTATCGGAGCGCTGGGAACACGAGGCAGAGGTGTGGTGGACTACTTTGGCCTGGATCCGTCTGACGTTGACATCATGATGGGCACCTTCACCAAGAGCTTTGGTGCCGCTGGAGGATACATCGGAGGAAAGAAGGTTGGCAGGCTATGCTATTGTAATTTTTATTGCTACGCTATTTTAATAACTATGCTGTTATTCAAAATTGAATTTATAAATCACACACTTGTTTCAAGCCTAATCTGTCTGTTTTTATTCATTTTTAGGAGCTGATTGATTACCTCCGCTTGCATTCTCACAGTGCAGTTTATGCTACCTCAATGTCCCCGCCTGTCACTCAGCAGATTATCACTTCTATGAAGTGCATTATGGGAGAGGATGGCACCACATTAGGTGAGTTTGAAATTTTGCTCATCTTATTTTAATGTACACTACTTCTCATTAACAAACCATTAACGAAGACTTTTAGTTTCATAAACCACTAATTAGCTGCTTATTAATAGTTGGGTTTAGGTATTGGGTGGATTAGGGATGTAAAATAAGGTCATACTTTATAAGGTCTAATATCTTAACAATAGACCGCTAACAGGGCCGGCACGTCCATGGGGCAACCTAGGCGGCCACCTAGGGCAGCATAATAGAGAGGGCGGTGTCCCCGACACTACCCTCACCACCCGCGCCCTCAGTTATATCCGTGTCTAGTGAGGTAGAATAGAAAGGGCAGTGTCTGCAACACTACCCTCACCTCCCGCGCCCTCAGTTATATCCGCGTCTAGGGTGGCAGAATAGAGAGGGCGGCGTCCGCAACAGTACCCTCACCACCCGTGCCCACAGTTATATCCGCGTCTAGTGCGGTAGAATAGAGAGGGCAGTGTCCCCGACACCCTCACCACCCGCGCCCTCAGTTATATCCGCGTCTAGTACGGTAGAATAGAGAGGGCGGTGTCCCCGACACTACCCTCACCACCCGCACCCTCAGTTATATCCACGTCTAGTGCGGTAGAATAGAGAGGGCAGTGTCCCTGACACCCTCACCACCCGCGCCCTCAGTTATATCCGCGTCTAGTACGGTAGAATAGATAGGGCGGTGTCCCCGACACTACCCTCACCACCCGCACCCTCAGTTATATCCACGTCTAGTGCGGTAGAATAGAGAGGGCAGTGTCCCCGACACTACCTTCACCACCCGCGCCCTCAGTTATATCCGTGTCTAGTGAGGTAGAATAGAAAGGGCAGTGTCTGCAACACTACCCTCACCTCCCGCGCCCTCAGTTATATCCGCGTCTAGGGTGGCAGAATAGAGAGGGCGGCGTCCGCAACAGTACCCTCACCACCCGTGCCCACAGTTATATCCGCGTCTAGTGCGGTAGAATAGAGAGGGCAGTGTCCCCGACACCCTCACCACCCGCGCCCTCAGTTATATCCGCGTCTAGTACGGTAGAATAGAGAGGGCGGTGTCCCCGACACTACCCTCACCACCCGCACCCTCAGTTATATCCACGTCTAGTGCGGTAGAATAGAGAGGGCAGTGTCCCCGACACTACCCTCACCACCTGCACCCTCAGTTATATTCGGATCTAGTGAGGTAGAATAGAGAGGGCGGTGTCCGCGACAGTACACTCACCACCCGCACCCTCAGTTATATCCGCGTCTAGTACAGTAGAATAGAGAGGGCGGCATCCCCGACACCCTCACCACCCACCCCTCAGTTATATCCGCGTCTAGTGCGGTAGAATAGAGAGGGCGGCGTCCCCGACACTCTCACCACCAGCGCCCTCAGTTATATCCGCGTCTAGTACAGTAGAATAGAGAGGGCGGCGTCCCCGACACCCTCACCACCCACGCCCTCAGTAATATCCGCGTCTAGTATGGTAGAATAGAGAGGGCGGCGTCCCCGACACCCTCACCACCCGCGCCCTCAGTTAAATCTGCGTCTAGTACAGTAGAATAGAGAGGGCGGCGTCCCCGACACCCTCACCACCCACGCCCTCAGTTATATCCGCGTCTAGTGCGGTAGAATAGAGAGGGCGGCATCCCCGACACCCTCACCACCCGCGCCCTCCGTTAAATCCACGTCTAGTACGGTAGAATAGAGAGGGCGGCATCCCCGACACCCTCACCACCCGCGCCCTCAGTTAAATCCGCGTCTAGTACGGTAAAATAGAGAGGGCGGCGTCCCCTACACCCTCACCACCCGCGCCCTCAGTTAAATCCGCGTCTAGTACAGTAGAATAGAGAGGGCGGCGTCCCCGACACCCTCACCACCCGCGCCCTCAGTTATATCCGTGTCTAGTGGGTAGAATATAGAGGACGGCATCCCCAACACTACCCTCACCGCCCGCGCCCTCAGTTATATCCGTGTCTAGTGCGGTAGAATATAGAGGACGGCATCCCCAACACTACCCGCACCACCTGCGCCCTCAGTTATATCCGTGTCTAAGATGGCAGGATAGAAAGGCCAGCAACAATATTTTTAGTAATTTAAATTTAGATTCATCCAATTCAAGCTGATCACCTTATAGGTTGTGATTTGGTCTAATTTAGATTACCCTAAAAAATCCTTATTTACAGTTAATGGTTCATCGTTTACCTAAAGTTGCTTAGAGTCAGTATGCTGGCCAGTTCCATATGCTCACAGACACATCCTCACCAGTTCTAGTTCTTAGACAGAGAATATAACTGTATACTAATTTCCTTTAAGTAATATTTGGCTGCCCCATGCTTTCTCATACATAAAGAAAGTTAGATTTAGCCCCTAGATTATATCATACTAAGTCAGTGATTGTCAGAAATCAACAGTTCTCCAATGCTGTCCCTATACTCTAACCATTGAGCCTGAATGTATGACTAATTCTGGTCGTAAGCTGCAGAAACATCAGCCTAAACAATCTATTAGATTTAAGAAACTTCAGGAGATATTAGAGCTAAACGTCAGAATTTGACATTTATTTTTCAGGCAAATATTTTACATTCTAATTCACATATTTAAACAAAATAAGCCAATTCAGATTGTAAAACATCAACCCAGTTTCATTTAAGAGTTCGAGATAAATACCTGACCATGTAGAAATACATTGCAGCATATAAGTCCTAATGCAGAGCTCAGAGACTTGTACACTGCGCTGGGGTATCCTGGCTACAGGATCCCACAGACACTTCTGCACCTTTTGCCTAAATACTCAAATCATCATAAATTCAAAACATTAAAAGCTTCACCAAGACTCTTGCCTGGTCATGAGTTGATGTGAAGACCATTTTCCCTGGAGTAGAGCATCTGGCAAAGATATTTTCATAGTCAAAACCCACATTAACTGATATAAGAGAGATTGTAAAATATTACAGTGAAATTAAAACCACTTTACTGACCACACAGAGACATTTAAAATAACACCAAGCATGAATATAGAGCCATAAGATACACCATATTAAAAGCTTACACATTCTGTGTGGAGCTCCTCTGGTGGAGAAAATAAAGTCCAGGGCAAAGAGAGGGGCTCAGGATGCATGATCGAGACAACCTGAACAGCTGTTTTCCTAGCTGATCTTCTTTTCAGATCAGAAAGTTTATTGTTTTAAACTTTATAGTATAACCATTCTCATGATCTTGTCTCATGTGGAGTTCCATTACAGTTATCAGGGTTTAATATTATAGAGAGATATAGCCATCCGTACATAATAAACCAGTAGTAAATAGCGTGAATTGTTATTGAATTGAATTGTTACTAATAGTTTTACTAAAGATTTATTCTAAATCATTTCACATAAATTTTACTTGGGTAGAGTGATCTTTGTGTGGTTTATTTTAATATATATATATATATATATATATATATATATATATATATATATATATATATATATATATATATATATATATATATATATATATATATATATATATATATATATATATATATATATATATATATATATATATA